GCGAGGCCCTGCGATGCACTCCCCAGAAATCTAGTAGATTGTTCAAAATCGACTACGTCAAAGCTCTCATGGAATGGGTAAGTTCTTAATATGTCTACTTTGTTGCGAGTTTTTTATGTTTGTTCTCAGTGCTGTGGAAAACCTTTTGCTGCTCCTGAGAAGGAGCTTCAGCTTGGTTCTCTAGATGCCCTTCATCATGTCCGAGATGTCATCCAGCAGATAATTGTTCCATCTTGGTTTACTTCAGTCCCAAGTGATTTTGGAAGCGCATCTGCCAGGACAATGAAAGTGGACGAATGGCGCTCTCTAATCACCGTCTACATTCCTATTGCCCTGGTGAGCTTGTGGGGGTCCGGCACCTCACATCCTTCCGATGAAGTTGGCACTCACCTTAGAGCTGTTCTCGACCATACTATGGAACTTGTTTGCGCGGTGTATCTCATGTGCGCCCAAACAACGACTGCAGAGAGAGCACACGCGTATCGCTCTCACATTGCACATTATGTTGGAAATTTGAAGAAGATATACCCTACCTTCGCTCTGCATCCAAATCACCACGCTGCCTTCCATATATACGACTATCTATATCTATTTGGCCCAGCCCACTCTTGGTGGTGCTTTCCTTTCGAACGTTTGATTGGAATACTTCAGCATCTTCCAGTAAATTGTAAGACTGGTGAGTCTTTATGGAACACCAGTGTGTAATAGCGGGATTGACTTTTCAAGGCGAGTTGGAAACTACCATGTTATATTCGTTTATCAAAACTTCAAAACTTCACTGTTGGCTTAGTCAACCTGATTGTCCGCCGGCTATTCAAGAGTGCAAATTTCTGTTTGACAGCATGTATGCTCCCAAGAGCGCTTCAACTCTCGGTGAAGAACTTGCTGAAGATCCTTTGGACGACAGTTTACAGGCTCCTTCCTCTGCTGTAGCTGTGGCTGTTCCTGAAGACTTGTTTGCGCTTATCAAACGACACACAGCAATATTACACGCACAACTAAAATTCAACGGGATTGTCTACAGCAGAGCCTCTACTCACATCAGGAATAGTCAAGTTTTTTTTTATCCTCAGGGTGACCAGTTATCGTCTCCTGTCCCTGGCAGTATCCAACATATCTATGCTACACCCACAGGTGAACTGGTGTTTGCTGTCCACAAGCTCCTCCTGCTGTAGGGAGTATCCCTACGCTAGGCTCGTATCCACCACTTTTCCGATGCATCAGGCGTCCATCCGACGTCCATCCGACACCTATCCATTCCATCCGATACACATCCGCTTTTCAGATGACATGCGGATACCTTCGGATCTCCCCCTATAGCTCGCGCATTCGCTGCATCCGTCCTGTCCACGTCCATTCTACCTCATTGGTACGTACTCACACGCATTTTCTTGTTACTGACTGAACACAGACATATCCTCTCACACTCCAGTATTTTTCGGATAGCTTTTGGCATGGTCTAGACTCACTACCTATATATCTATGTTCCTTGAAAATACTGTACCCTATAAGCATGGAGGGTTTCGGAAAATACTTACTGGAGGTAACTTTCTCCCACTTTTCCTGCACCCTACCAGAAGATCGCTTTGACCTATACCTACTATCCATCCAACCTTTAATGTACTTCCTTCAACTGTGATTTGCATCCTTTCCGATCCGCAAGTGCCATCCGCTCCATCCGATGAATCTGTACATTTTGCATCCTATCCGTTTCATCCGCTTTTGCGGATCTTTCATCCTATAGGGTCGCTTTAGACAGAGACTAGTGTTTCCCCAGTAGCAATCCCCTTAAGGGTCGAATGCACTTGTTCCCAAGCAAGGCAGCAGGCAGCAAAGACCCAACTGTGTAGTAGATTGAGTTCTCTCCGCTGCACTTGTTGTACCCACACCGCGTCACGATCAGACCATTGATCCATTTGCTATGTATCCTCATTTTCCTGCTAAAATGTACTCGTCAAACTCGGGTGGTCATTTGGAAAATGTCAAGGTATCCTGGGTTGTTAGTCACTTTGCTCGATGAGCAGTTTCAAGTGATATGGTAGTCATATTATCTCTATCTTGCGTAAGTACATTCATTCACCTCCCGAAATCACCGGTGTCTGACTACTGTCAAACAGGATTGATTTTCAGTTTCACTCTACTACATAGATTCACGTACATGTATATAACTCATCATCTAGTCCTGTAATATTTCACATCTCAAACTTAAGTGGGCGATGACGTTGTAAGTGGGCGATGATTCAGCCATGAGTGGGCAATCGTCGGGCAATCGGTTTTATCTGGAGATAAAACTTGATGATTTATTTTCACATTTTATTGTCAGGGGGTATTTTGAATTTTAACGCCCGTCTAAGCGACGGTCTAAACTTCATACATGAGCAGACATTCAGTCACGTGCGATAGTTGAAGTTTTTTCGAGTCTTAAATGTGAAGTTTCATTTCAAAGTTTATGCCAGCATTAAAGATATATTTATATTTCTTATTGTCATTGATGTTCAGACAGTAACAAAATGTTCGCTGATGCTTTATATTTCTCTTGTCGTGCAAGATCTCTTTAACATTTGAAATTTTACATCCACTTAGACGACAACCTAAATATTAAGTATTATCTTGACATTTCGTACGACATTCAAACCAGTCTTAAATATTCAAATCCCCGATGTGCTTCCATCATCGAGTTTCCCACTTTAAGCCATTAGGCAAGATATAACTTACAGTGGCTCAAAAAACTGTCCACATGTTTTCACATTTTTCACTATCTATGATATTGTGTGAGAATGTACAAATACATCAAGGACATGCTGGTACCATATTGTAGTACTACTTCAGGGCTTCCAATTGAGCCCTATGGCGTGGGAATTGGTCGAGATATGGTGGAGATATGAGGCTTACAAAATGATGACTCATGCGGACAGTTTTTTGACTCAAGTATTTTACAGTGATAATCAGGTATTCTAGTACATTGTGTGACCTCCCTTGGCTTTAATTACTGCCTCTATCCTTCTAGGCATACTCTCAATCAATTTCTGGCAATATTCTGCTGTAATCCTTGCCCATTCCACTGCTACTCTCTCCCATAGCTCCTATACTCCTTTAGGGGGGGTTTCATAGGCTTGAAGCATCTTCTTGAGTATTCCCCAGAGATGTTCAATGACATTGACATCAGGGGACTGTGCTGGTCAGTCAATAACATTGATATTATGTTCTTTAAACCATTGTCTGGCTCTCCTAGATGTGTGCTTGGGATCATTATCCTGTTGGAAAATGATGTCTTCTTCATCAATCCCTGAGTCAGCTATGCTAGGCAGCAAGTGGTCATTTAGAATGTCCACATACTGCTCAGCATCCATCCTCCCCTCAACTTCAGCGGGCATACCCACACCATTCCATCTCATACAGCCCCATACCATTAGAGAACCTCCTCCAAATCTGACAGCCTCACTAACCTCTCTGTCTGTTAGAAAATCCCTCTTCTTTTTCCATACATATACCTTCCCATCTGACCCAATCCTATTGATTTTGGTCTCATCTGAACATATGACATGCTTCCAGTCCTCTACAGTCCAGTTTTGATGGGCCAAGCCAAAGGTAGTCTTTTCAGCCTATGTTTAATAGAGATAAGAGGCATTTCTTCTTTGTTACTGCCTTGAGATGAGCTGCCTTGAGAACATTCCTCACAGTTTGTGAAGAGACAGTGGTGGTGATGGTGGAATTGGTATAATGGGTGGCTTGGAGGGCATTATTAGCCTTTCCTGTAGTGATATGTTGGATGATAGCCCCCTTATTAGCAGAGGTGGACGTCCTCCACAAGAGTTTTCCTTGTCCAGGTGGCTTTCTTTGATACACTTGGCTGCAGTAGACTTGCATACTTCAGTTCTAGAGGAAATTTGATGAGCAGAGAGGCCAGCATAGGACAAAGAGAAGATATTATCCCTTTGAGTAGAGGAGACGGCTTTCATGGTAATTATGACCATGACACATGAGACATTCTGGTTTATATAGTTAGATATAGTTTTAAGAGTATGCCTAGAAGGATAGAGGCAGTAATTAAAGCCAAGGGAGGTCACACAATGTACTAGAATACCTGATTATCACTGTAAAATACTTGAGTCAAAAAACTGTCCGCATGAGTCATCATTTTGTAAGCCTCATATCTCCACCATATCTCGACCAATTCCCACGCCATAGGGCTCAATTGGAAGCCCTGAAGTAGTACTACAATATGGTACCAGCATGTCCTTGATGTGTTTGTATATCCTCACACAATATCATAGATAGTGAAAAATGTAAAAACATGTGGACAGTTTTTTGAGCCACTGTATGTAAAAGTTCAAGCTATGCCTGGTTGGTTTCAGGTAGTAGTGTACAGTAAAATCGGTCCTAGCCCACATTAACAATATATGACAATACACTGTGGGAAGTGAAAACACTGAAAATTGGTGTCTAGAATACTGAAAGTCAGGGTTCAAAATACTGACTTTCAGAGTTTTGTATCTTAGGACCACAGTCAACATCTGAACCAGAAGATAGGACATGTGAGATTTCAGTGTCAAGAATACTGAACTGTAGTGCTGCCGCAGTCTGGTCCATGGTTCTCACACCAGCCAGAACCGGACTGGAAATTGGTTCTCGGTTCTGGCTATTCCCAAACCATTCCATTTTGGTTCGGCAAGGCCGAACTGTTCCGAACCCTTGTCAATTCTCACTTTGACATCACTTACCTCAATGTCAGGCCGACCTTCGGGATTTGCACTCTCGGTACCTGGTCAGGCTATGTTTAGCCTTTTTGAAGGTAAGTACTAACCAATCGAACTTTCAATTCTCTCACCCACTGACATACATTTAACTATGTTTTAGAGAGTTATGATCCTCCACCGGCTTTTCACTCTGACAGATCTCCTAGGATATCAATATTCTGTGATACTTGGGTGTTCTTGTCCTGCTCTGTGTACAAAATGAGGTGACAATGACGAAAATGTGAGTCTGATATCTCCCTGAAAATGTCTCAAGACGCCTGCACTCTCAATGCTGATAGCTCCCTCAAGGATGCTTCTGATATCAAGTTCTACAATGATCCTGATGATGATGTCCTGTTGCCACCGGTCCCATCAACGGAATCCATGAGAAATGCCTTCTCCATTCTACTCAATGCTGGACACACCCCAGCAACTGTTGCAGCTGGTTCTTGGCGCTCTGGCTGCCCTTCAAAGCCCTCAGCTCGCGTTCGTGATGCTGACAATGCCTGTGGGCTGTCCTTGTCCTCGGGCACAAGGAAACGTGCATTATCGAGTGCTGTGGACCATCCAGCACCCATTAAAAAAGTTGCTATGTGAATCCTATCTCCTCTCGACTCTGACAACGACAAAGATATATCTCCTCTCAACTCTGACAACGATGAAGATATCCCTGCTTCTGCTCCTGATCCAGGAGAATCATCCTCCAATGAGATGATTCCCCAACCAGATGACGATGAGACTGATGACAAGTCTGAGAATGAAGGCGCCACTCAGAGTGTACATACCACTCTTGACCATTGTTCTTCCTGCGCTGACACTTGGATTTAGGTTTGAAAACCGAATGTACAGCAGATATTCAGACCATATTCAATTGTATTCCTGATGGGTGGGTATGCACCCTGTGCAAGTAAGTTATTCGTCTGGTTTTCAATCTTTTTTTTTTTTGATTTTGCATAAGGGACGCTGGTGAACCAGCATCCAAGCACACATTTCATGGAGGGACTTCAACACTGCGAACGCACATAGTCCGCCACAAACGGACCCATTTTCCAGTATACAAGCAGTGTTGTGATGCTGTGGGCATGTCATATACCTGATCCGACTGCTCCGATACTGATATCCGCTCCGCTTTCTGACCCCTCTGCTCCATCCATCCTCTGCTCCATCCAATCACAAGTCCACATTCCGCCCTACACTTCCGCTCAACCGCTCAACCGGTCCCCTTCCATAATGTCTCCATTCAACTGGATCTCTTTCCCCTTTTAGATATATACCTTCCCCTTCGGTACATAGACCCTTACTTCCGGATCACTGGTAATTCCTATTACTGCTCGATCACTGATCCAATGCATACATATCAATATCTGCTCTGACTTATGTCTTTGCCTGTGTAAAGTACTTACAAACTATATCCTTGGTACATAGTTTTACAACATAGTTATCCTGATCACTGCCTCATACATAGAAGTATATAACATATCCTGTACTTAGATATTTTCCCCAGTCTTAATATTACTTATCTTCTCACAGTTACTACTTGTGAGAATTCTCAGTAGGACCTTGCCTCCTCTGGACACAAGTTTCACCTTGTTGTCACCTCCGACCCTCCACTCCGACTTAGAGCCGTGCTCTAAGTCTTCTCTTTACTTCTCTGCCCCTATCAAGTATTCCCCTGCTCCTTTCCGCCCTCCGCATTATCCTCTGCCTCCTCTGCTCCTATCAAGCATTCCCCCAGCTCCTTTCCACCCTCCCCATTATCCTCCGCCTTCTCTGCCCTGCTCCTAGTTGGTCCGCCGCTAGTAGCTCTTACCTCCTGACCCTCAAAGTGGACCTAAGCGATCCATTCATCCTATTGTCGGACAATGTTGGACCCGCTCCAAATTCGGGGTACGTACTCAGCTAAGGGCACAGCACAAGAGCTGAAGCCAAGCCCCGACCCCTCTGCCTCTTGAGCTGGCACGGTACCTAACAGAGTTGGCCTATGGATACAAGTGTGTATCCGACCTTGGGTAAAAACAGGACCTCAGTAAGTCTTAGCTTCAACATGTCTACTCTGTTCAGTACCTCAATGATCATTTCTTCAATGCCAGTCATGTCAAAATGCCGCTTGTTCGCAGCCACAAAGGACTTGGGTGGTATGGTGGAAAGCAATTCAAATTTATTGTGATAAGGGGATATGTGCCTTGTTGAGCCAAAGTTGTACAGCTCAACAACTGGCTTATAGTCATTCTCATTGCTGACCAGCACAGCGAGCTTAGGTACATCAATGTCACTCCAGGGTAGGTCTTTATCATCCCCTACTTCTGAGAACCAGTCTGCATCATTGACATCATAGGCTTCATGGTCTTCTGCATTGGAGTCAGAGTCGGATGAGGTCAAGAGTTTGGGTAAGTCAGAGTCTGGCTCTATCAGGGCATCAATTGCAAAAATGCTGTTGTCCTCAGAGTCAAGATCAGCTACAATGTGAACTGATCCTCTTACAACAACAGCAGTAGAGTCTTTGTTTGCTGACTTGTTGGGTTCCTTGCAGTTGGCCTTGAAGTGCTCTCTGGATCTGCAGTTCCAGCAGGGCAGGTGCTGCCTGCCACATCCATTTGGGCCTCCACATTGACCCCATCTGCCATTACCATGCCCACGACTGGAGAAGTCTCCCAGGGCAACAGATAAGGCTTCATCACTGTCACAGCCTTTGGCAGCACCATGGCCATTGCTGTTGTGACCATCCTTGCGATTTCAATGCTTGGATTCTTCAATGATTTGTGAGATGAGGATGTCAGGGTCAATGGTTTGAGTTGGGCTGTAGAGGCGAGCATTATCCAGCTGCCCAGACACAAAGCTTACAAGGTGATTAGGGAGGGATTGGATAATGGTTGAGCAATAGTCTTTTTCTTCAATATCAATGCCAATGGCAGCTAACTCATCTCATTTTGCACGTAGGTCATCTAAGAACTGACAAATGTCATAACTACCTGGACATTTAGACTCCAAGAACTTTGTGTGGACACCTCGTCCTCACATAATCCTTACCTAAATAGCTTGGTATTCCCACAGGGGTGTGACAAGCTAATAAGCTAGGAATACTGTAGTACCCTACACTGCCAGTATTTAGCCCACTAAATGCTGAATATTTAGACTTCGGCAAAACAAGGCAGCCACTGTATGTTTGGCTGTGGTGCCACATCACAAACATACCATTCTAGGTGATTACGCTAGCCACAAGACAGCGCCATCGTCGGCAACATCCGAAACCTTTGTGCTCATTGTTGACAACAACAAGCACAACATTTCACTCAATTCTCATTAAATTTTTGCAGGACTTTTCATGATAAGGCCACCAAGGCATCAATTATAAGGTAAAAACATGAATATGCGAGCAAAACATAAGGAAAATGTAGTATGGCATAAATGAGCATAGCGGGATCTCAGACAGCAGGTTTAGCTGACAAAGTAGCCAAACGAGACACCAATAGTGTTGTGGGCATGGTTGAAGTGTTTGTTGAAGGGGTCTAAGTTGTGGTGGGGGACATGATGCTCGATGAAGAAGATGTCAGTGATGGAGCAGCAGTAACTTGGGCAGTCTTCTTCTTCCTTGGGCCACGGTGAACACCCTTGTCCTTCCTGGGAGCGCGTGGCTTCTTCTGCACTGGAAGTGCAGCGCCTGAGCTAGTGGTGACCATGTTGATGAACTCGGTATCCTTCTGCTTCCTCCCGCGTTGGGGAGCTCCTTCTACAATGTTGTTGTTCGGCGTCTCAGACGACACCACACACTTGTTCCCTGTCCCTCCCTGTCCCTCACTCTCATCTTCTCTGTCGACATCAGGCATGTCTTCGTTAGTTGCACTTGTGTTTTGCATCGCTAAGGCAGCTTGGAAACGCTGGTCTGACCACTGATCATACTCAGCATCCCTGAGTTTCTGAAAGGAGGTAGCGCCTGAGTCAAAGGCATGGAATAAAACTGTGAGTTCATTGAGGGAGCTGATGTCACCGGGACAGCAGAACTTTGAGAGCGGCCAATTCTTCAAGATGATGCGGTGCTTCAATGTGATATTGTCGTCAAAGTTCACATAGTACATCCTTGAGACCTTGGTGGGAGCAGCCGTCTCCTCTGTAAAGTGCTTTCATTAGCAATAGAACTAAAATTGAAAGCCTGTCAACTCATGAAGTTTGTTGTGAATGAGTTCACCAGTCTTCTTCTTCCATTCAAGGACCTCCTCTACGTGAGTTTTTGCCATACCTTGGAAAATACTCTGTCAATTTGAGATAACCATGCAACACAATGAATTTTACATACCCTGTACACCAGCAATGGTGAAACCCTCAAGATGAAGGGCTATATTGCCCATGGAAGTCCCAAGACAAGCGTCAAAGAAGGCAGAAGCACGCAATGTTTGAAAGATATGAAGTTGATTGAAATGCTCAACATCCGAGCAAACTGCGAACAGTAAGATCTCCATTCCTGTGTGGGCGTTCAACGCCAATAGCTGGGAACTTTATGATTAGTAGTGCAGAGCTTCATATTGAAAATAAAAAACAAACCTCATGATCGTTTGAGTCCAGAGTCTTCCTGCCATCTTGGAAGGCATTCAAAGGCACATTGTGAAGCGCTAACTCTTTGACTTCATGCTGGTCGCCAAGGCTTCATATGAGATCTTCAGTGGTGTTTTCTTGTTCTTCCCTGCTCATAATTTTCCACTGAGTGGAGACCTCTGCCACAATAGAGCAGACTTTCTCTTTGCTTAAACCTTGTTTCTCATGTTCTATGGAATGTGTAGTGAGATATAATGTTACCGTCAATAGAGTTTTTGCAAAATAAACATACCCTCATTGTGTTCCTTGAGTTTACCCGAAAGAAAAGCATTCCAGCGATTAACACTTCGCTTGTGAGTGATGAGATGTGACTGCTGCATAATTTCTTGATGGTAATAGGCAATACTGTGCTTGCCAAACTTCTCGTGCAGCATTTTGGCTTGATGCTGAACAACCTCCCTAGCCTCATTCAATGCAGTGCCATTGTCAACTCAATGTTGTGTGCGTTTCTCCCTCAAGGCAGCCTTCTGCTTGGAGGACCATTGGATGCGCACTTTCATGCGGCTACGCCAGGCCTTTCGCAATTTGGAAGTTTGCACTTTTCGCGTTGAAGCGGTGTAGCGCACTCCATTGATGTTGGGGGACATTTTTCACAGAGTGCATGTGATGAGGTGCTAGTCAAGCGAAAACACACTGAAAACAAATGTAACTTTCTGTGTTGCACAATAAATAACACGTAACCCTACAAAATATTCAAGGTACTCAGTAGTCACTCTGCCGTATCTTCACCAATGTTAATCAAAGCCCACAGAAAATATACCTCCGTAGTAGGCATACCACGAGCTGATAGAGTGTCCACAAAGTCTACGCAAGTAGCAGTTGTGTCCAAGGCATGTGCGATCATGAGAAGGGCATGCACAGAGTATCCATGAGATTGCAAATAAAGATCAGCCAGTTCTCTGAATGATGGGACAGGCATGTCATAAAACATGGGCTCAGAAACACTGCTCTGGATACCTGAGATGTCCCGTATATGCTGATAGACAGGTCAAATAGGTGACTGATCAGATGATTGAGCTTGGCTTTCAGCTTGGGGAACTTGCCACACACAAGTAGCACCTGGAGTAGAACCGAGATGCTGAGATGGAGAACCGAGACACTGAGATGGAGAACTGAGATGCTGAGAGAGATAACTGGGATGCTGGGAGGGGTGTGTAGTAGTGGTCCATGAATTAAAAGAAGTTGAAGTGTCTATGGACAAGTCACAAACAGCCTCCATCAAGTCAGATTCTGCTGGTAGTCATTTATTGTGAGGATCGCATATACATAGTAATGAACGAAAATACATATGAGTCAAGACTTGTGCTTTAGGAATGGATGGTGTTGATTTGCGAGACGGCTGATCAGTGGCATTCCCAGCGCGATGTCCCTTGGTTATCATCCATTCCATAGCCTTGGACATGGTTTTAAGCTTCTTGTAGACAGGCTTTTGAAAGCCAGTGACACTGTTCTGACAGAAACGCCTGATATTAAATGATTGAACATTAGATTAGTAGAAGATGAGAAAAAACGGAACTCACCAAGTAAGAAAAATGCCAGACTCATGGCCCACCACAACACAATAAAACCCTGATACTTTGCCATACAGAAGAGCATGCACAGTCGTGGATTTATAGAATTCTCGAGCAGCAGAGATCGGGGGCGTTGAGTCATCGAACTTGCTAGCTGATGGGCTGTAGACAAGAAAAGATGGAATCTGCTGTCATTTTGTCTTCAGTGTGGATGGCAATGGAAAAAGATGGGCTTCTAAAGCCGTAGGTGATGAAAGGTCTAGATGGCAAGGTGGGCAATGAGTGGTGATAGATCTGATGAGCTGACAGTTTGATCATCAAAAAGAAGTTGAGAGCATACCAATCAGAAAAAATCCCTGGTGCTCGTCCTCCAATAACCACCCACATAACTCAGTCGAATGGAAGAAGAATTCAAGCCTTTGATAAAGTATGACTTTGAGGTGTCAAGGTGAGTGTTGAGAATCAAGCAGGAATAGAGAGAGGTGTGAGGTGCATTACGTGTAACATCAGCACATCTGGCATCAGCACTAAACAATTCCTCATCACCGCTGATAGCTACAAGAAAGTCATAAGCCTGCTCGATGATCTTATGAAAGAGGATATGACTTTAGGACTTTGACTTTAGGACTTGTATATGTAAGGGAGGTTTATCGATGATCCATCATCAAGATCCAAGAGTGTGCAGGATGTGCATTGCATTGCATGTGTTATTACAGATCTCTGGCTATCATTTGCTCACGGCACCTCAACTCCACAATTACAACACATTAATATTCTCATTCATGCTTAGCAGCAGTGCAGTAAAACGCATGTTCATAGCAGTAAAACACTTGGAATAAAACTACAACTGGCTACGTGGCAGGTCTGAGACAAATTCTACTAGAGTTCTGATGTCTGCACGTGTGTCATCCTCCAAAAAATCATCCTCAACATCTTCGTCTACTACATCTTCTTCAACATCCAACTGAGGAAAATCCTGCTCAATATCATTGGTCACAGGTGCACCTTTTCTAATGCCATGGGTAGCAACTCCGGTGAACCCTTCAGGAGCATATACCTGGAAAATGTGTCTAAGAACCTGGGCATTGACAAGACGCTGCCTCTGACAAAAATCGTGCACTGTGACAAGCAATGGAGATGCCGCATCTTCAAGGTCCTTTAGAATGTTCGAGAAGTGGCAGCCTTCGTCTACAATAGCGGTGTGAAGTCTGCGTATTTCCATGTTGCAATGGACAACTTCTTCATGTGCCCATTGGATACACAAGTGCTGGCGCATAGTCTCACGAATAACCGGTTTAGCCCAAGGTTTGTTGTGGATATCCTGACGAGTCTCACGCAACAGTGTGAACTCATCAAGGAATTGATAGTGCGAAACCTTCGCCCATTCAAGCGGTGGGCAGGGGGGGCTGTAATTTAGATGCTGCCTCATTGTACTTCTTGACGGCATTTTGAATCGCGCAACAACAAGTCTGAAGATTCTTGGATATCTGGGTGCGCATCTTATAGGCTGCACAGACTAAATTAATAGACAGTCACAAACAAAAGGTCTAGTATACCAGTTTTCGCTACATTGAGGTGCTGAAGCTCGAACAAATGTTGGATTACAAGACGTTGAAGATTGTCCAAAGCACACTGATACTCTCGAGTGCACATAACTTCATTGATGCCTGATATTCAGGGGAAGACGGCTCCCAGCAGTGGGTAATACCCATCTTAACCTCCATGACAACCAATTCGAGTTGAATGGCATCCAACTTCTCAGTGGCATAGTGCCGTTGTGTTTCAAGTTTGCGAGTCTGAGATAATTTGAAGGCATATGAGTCCTGTGATGGCGGTTGAAACTGATAGTTAGGAGCACTTGATATGAAGCGCGATGACACAGAAGAGCATTGAGACCTAAATTATTGTTAACATGGTAGTTTAGAAATAGAAGAGAAACTTACTGCAATTCTCAATGCTTCAGTAATAGCTCAACATACACCATGGCATGAACATCCCATGGCGGTTCCTGTCCTAGGGTTGGAAGTATTCAACTTCTTCTTGATGCCACAAAGTAATGTCTTCTTTGGTGATCCCCAGTGACGTCATAGCTTCCGTTAACGCTACTGATTCCTTTGATATGACCTGAAAGGCTTGGCAGTAGTTGTTGTAGATCATTGTAGCAAGGTGTACATACTTCTCGTCGTTCCATTGTTTGAAGAACATGTCAAGAAACACATGTTGGTTATAAGTGCTTGCATATCGAATGATGGGGGTGAGAGCGTTTGATGCAGAAAATATGCATTCGATAGTTCCGAAGTCTTCAAGACCTGCACCATCAATCCCAAGTGGATGGTGCTTTGTCTGACAACGATAGTTATGTGCAAAGCCGTGGAATGCATCGACACACAAACAGCAATCCATCTTCTTGAAAAGGGGGCCCAGGCTACTGGCCATGACTGTGGATGAGAAGCCACAACCAATGTCATAGGCACCGAGTGAGCATTCACCAAGAAGCTCGAGAACTTTAGTGATGATGGCGAGAGGGTACTTGGCACTGTTTATGTAACTATTAGCATTGCGTCCAACAGCCATGTCAGAATGATGACATACAGCTCACCACTTCGTACCATATCCACATACCATAAGATGAAGCCATGACAGCATGCACTGACAAAAATCCCTGTCTCATCAAATATACTCCACATCCTCTTCTTTTCATCAGATGCAGCCACCTTCCAATTTTTGCTACAGTCAACAGCAATAGAATCAGAGGCATGACTCAATACAGGAAGATGATCTTCAGTGTCAGGAGTTTTGTCTTCGGTAGGTGTTGTAACGTCAGGAAGCAATGATCTTGGTTGAACTTCGCCTGCGAATGTGTCAACAATAGTGTGGGGAAGAAGGTAGTCACTGTCTCCGAAGCAACATAAATCTTTCGTTTGTTGCTTGGCAAGTGTCAGCAGCGCTTCGCAGAGTTACCTCCATCAAAAACATACATGCGGTTGAATTTCAGCGGGGGTTCATCTTCCAGCATATAGGTACAGGCAGGGCAAGCATTCAAAACCCACCAGTTAGGCAAGTCGTGTTGAAGGGCAGCTTTGGTGCGCTTCTCGACTTCCCGTAAGATGGTAAGATATATGTCGAATGTTGATGATAGAACAGTACGGTAAGTCCTGACATAAGGTATCTGTGTGACGACATCAGTAAGATGGTGTATCATAAAAAGAAGACTTATGCCATATGAATCCCATAAGACCTTTGCAAATGCCTCAATGCTCAGGGATGGCTTGTGAAGACGCAGTATACGATAATGCTCAAGAGTCCAGAGAGAAACAGCATATGATGGGGAGTAAGGTGCATTACCCATGTAGCCTTGTAAAACAAGTGCAATGGATGGTGAGCGACTGTTAGCTGAGCATGAGATTAGCGCAGACTGCTCCAGTGTGAAGATGTCAACAGTGTTTATTGTAAAGTCATATTCAGTGGCACAGGAAGCCGGTCTACCCAGGGGACATTGGCAGTAACCTTTGGCTGAGTTCTTCCAAGTGAGGTAAGCGTCAACTAGGAAGGGGATAAGTGATGCCCAGTTAGCATGAAGGTTTTGAAGTCGTGAGCGCCATGTTTAAGAGTCTTTATAGTAGTGACCTGCCCAGCTGCGTTTTGATAGTGAGAATGTGAATAAGTAAAGCGGCAGGATGACTTACGGGGCATCTGCAAAGTCTCGGATAGCACACAGAAAGACGTTGTTGTTTTGAAGTTGGTCTGGAAGTGTCTCCCACTCCATTTCAATGCCATGGTCTTCCCCGATGGAACCAGAAGTAGTTTCAGGAAGTGGAGACTCTGCTCACATGTCACTGAGGGCATCAAGAGTCTCAGCCCCAAGTCCTATCACTCTTGAGCATAAAAACAGGTACATAGATGCAGTGGGATGATTTACCACTGGTATTCAGTCTGTATGTTTCCTGACCCGCAATCCTCTCCTGCCTCACAGTGCTTCGCTTCATGTATCGTGTTCTGAGTAGCCCATGCTGAGTCCCTTTGGTGATATGGATGCTGTGAGAGAGACCTTGGTTCTTTGACCGTGGCATGGGGATCTGCCAGTGGAGGAATGGATGGTAGGTGGAGAGCACCGTGCAGTTAGAAGGAGCTGCGGTAGTAGATACTAAGTGAGGGCATGTTGAACACGAGGTAATCGGATGATGCCATCGGTGTTGGCAGCTAGAAAGATGCAGCAGAGCAATTAGCAAGCATACCTCATGACTTCGTATCCTGCATGAGGGTGGTTCCTTATCATGTAAAGTCCTGCAAAAATTTAATGAGAATTGAGGGAATGTTGTGCTCGTCGTCGTCGACGATGAGCACAAAGGTTTCGGATGTTGCCAATGATGGCGCTGTCCTGTGGCTAGCGTAATTGCCTAGAATGGTATGTTTGTGATGTAGAGCCACAGCCAAACATACAGTGGCTGCCTTGTTTTGCCGAAGTCTAAATATTCAGCATTTAGTGGGCTAAATACTGGCAGTGTAGGGTACTACGGTATTCCTAGCTTATTAGCTTGTCACACCCCTGTGAGAATACCAAGCTATTTAGGTAAGGATTATGTGAGGATGAGGTGTGTGTGGAGGTCAGTCTGTGCATAGGCACCCTTCTCGGTGTATTCACGCACAATCTCTGTCCACATGGCAGCAATGTTGGTGAGGTTCCATACACGTACTAGTAGCATAGTAGAGTTGGGAATGCACTGAGTGAGCAAATGTTTAACAAGGCTTTCACTTTTCAGCCACTTAGCAAGAGCATCAGGATCCAGGGATGACACAACAGCGGTCCTGCCTAGGGCAGTCATGGATATCCTGACAGGACATGGGGTCATCCCATTGAATTGCTTCCACAACTCCTTCACCTCAATGGTGATTTGGAAATGGAGCAAGAAGATCGCCTAGTTCACCCCTTTAATGTCAAGCTTGGGAACATTGCTCAGGAGGGTGTCAGTTGTGATGGAGACAGTGGTTGACATTGCGGATTAGATCTTTGCAGCTTGGCAGGGAAACATGAGGTGGTAGGGCTTCAATAGGGAGCAGGGCTCATAACCTAATAAGGTAGATGCCATGATAATCCAATGAACATCACATGATGTGACACAAGCATGACACAGTGCTGCTAACTCCTGCTGAAGCTGCCGAGAATGCATACTATAATAGAAGAGCAAGTAGAGTAGAATAAAATGTAGTGAAGTACATAGATTATGTGCAGTTGTCAAGGTTGTGCTCAAGGGAAGTGTGACTCAAAGGGCTTGGCTTCAGCTTGTGCGCTGCACCCCTTACCCAAGTACGTGCCCTTAATTTCCGAGAGACAGAGGGGAAGTCCAATGGAAGTCTAGGTAGGTCCAGAGGTCAGACACAGGGGGAGTTCAGCGGAACTCCAGAAGGCTAGGAGTAAATAGAGTAGGACTACCTCAGACAAGTTCAGAGTAGAAATGGAACAGAGTTAGACTACCCTAAGGTAGAGCTGGAGATATAGTCTTAAGGATCAACCCTAAGACTTGGAGGTGGACAGGAGATCAGACTCAAGTCCCAGAGAAGCAGGAATGAGCAGAACTAAGATGATATTCAAACTGAGGAGGTACCAGAGTATTACAGAAGTTTATATACTATAGATATCATGTAAGTGTACAATGGATCAAAGAAATGAAGTCGGAAATGAAGCGAAGATGGATGGATCAGTAAGCAAAGTGGAAAGGTATACAACCGGTAGCTGGAGAGCAATATTCTAAAAGGAGATAGATGTGAGTATGGAGATGAAGGCAGAGCTCCAGGTGGACAACAGGATGGAGAAAAGGATGGAGACCCAGACTTTCATAGGGGAGAATCCGGAGTTCCAGGTCTGGAGGTGTGGGATATGACACCAGTTAGGATAGCTTGATTAACTAGTAATAAAGAGTTCAGAGGGGGCTAGGTCACAAAATTGCCAGTTCATGTGCAGCACTGGGACTCGGACCTGGATTCCTGCAAAGGTACTATCTCCAATTCCAGATTCTGTACATTGACTCCTTCCAGGCCATGGAAGCCTGAAGCTTCTGCTGTGTCTGGGCTCCCTGCTTCTGGGTGGCCATACCAGTGTTGCAGAGTGCTCAGAACAATGTGAACATTGTTTTCACATTCACCATGTTCACACTGGGTCTCATCAGGAACAATAGTGCATGGTACTGGCAGGAGAGGGTCCATCTCCCTCAATGTCAATTCCAGCCTCTGGTGTGTGAGTGTGTCCAGACTCACATTTTCCTTGTTACTAACATCATCTCCTTCTGCAGTTTTCGCTTTTTTTGACCTGAAATTTGCAGTCCATATGCTGTATACGTGTTTTGGCTGTGTCATTGCAAGGCAATGTCTTTCCTCGGCAGAGTGGTGGCAAAATCAAGCCAGCAGAGTTGCAGCACTGTTTCACTTCTGGCACTGTCAGTTTCACCATTTCTGTTAGGTACTGTGCCGGCTCAAGAGGCAGAGGGGTCGGGGCTTGGCTTCAGCTCTTGCACTGCGCCCTTAGCTGAGTATGTGCCCCAAATTTGGAGCAGGTCCAACGTTGTCCGACGGTAGGATGAGTGGACCGCTTGGGTCCACTTTGAGGGTCAGGGAGTAAGAGCTGCTAGCGGCGGACCGACTAGGAGTGGAGTGGAGAAGGTGGGGAATGATGTGGAGGGTGGATAGGAACCAGGGAGATATTTTGATAGGAGTGGAGATGGCGGAGGATAATGCAGAGGATAAGAAAAGGGATGATAGGAGGATATTGATAGGGGCGGGGTAATAAGGGAAAGACTTAGAGCATGGCTCTAAGTCAGAGTGGAGGGTCGGAGGTGACAACAAGTTGAGACTTGTGTCCAGAGGAGGCAAGGTCCGACTGAGAATTCTCACAAGATGTAACTGCGAGAAGACAAGTAATATTAAGACTAAAAAAAATCTCTAAGTACAGGATATGTTATATACTTCTATGTGTGAGGCAGTGATCAGGATAACTATGTAGTAAAGCTATGTACCAAGGATATAGTTTGTAAGTACTTTACATAGGCAAAGACATAAGTCAGAGCGGATATCAATATGTACGCGTCAGATCAGCGATCAGGTGGTAATAGGAATTACCGGTGATCCGGAAGTGAGGGTCTATGTACCGAAAAGGAAAGCATATATCTAAAAGGGGAAAGAGGTCCAGTTGAATGGAGAGATTATGGAAGGGGGCCGGTCAAGCGGTCAAGCGGAACGTAGGGCGGAATGTGGACTTGTGATTGGGCGGAGCGGAGGATGAATGGAGCGGAGGGGGTCGGAAAGCGGAGCGGATATTGATATGGGAGCGGTCGGATCAGGTATATGACAATTTCATTAATAGTGCTCTCAATTCTTCATGTATCACAAATTCACTGTGCTATATTGTTCAATACTGTACTCTCAACAGGATAGCAGAACAAATTTCTCATATGTGTCATTGGCAAGTTGCTATCAATTGTGCAAGGAGTAGTCACAATTTCATCACACTGGTCATGTGACATTCATTGGATTATTATGGCATCTACCTGAGAAGTATAACCTCAGCAGTGCATGACTATATGAAGATAGTATACTCAGTTGCACACTTGATAGAGAGACAATGCTTTAACATTACCTATATGAAGATGGTATACTGTAGGTAATCAGCATAAGTACAAGTATAACAAATATAAGGAACAATGTTGGTACTAACCTCAGTCACACACTCAATAGAGAGACAATGCCTAAGGTACAAATCACATATCATAGTGAACTAAATATGAAACGGCATAGAAACAACATAAATTTACTATATGGCTAATCATGCACTGTGTGCTTGGTATATTGGACAACTGTTAGAGACTGTGCTCGGACAGAGAAGCAGAGGGGTCAGGGCTTGGCTTCAGCTCTTGTGCTGCGCCCTTAGCCAAGTGCATGCCCTGAATTTGGAGCGGGTCTGACAATGTCTGACAATAGGATGGGCAGACCACTTTGGTCCGCTTGGCAGGTTGGGAGGTAAATGCTACTAGCAGTAATCCGACTAGGAGCAGAGCAGAAGAGGTAGAGGAAGTTTATTGGGATGGAGGGGAGTATGGGGATTGATTGGTGGAGTCAGAGAGGTAAGAGCAAATACTTAGAGCACAGCTCTAAGTTGGAGCGGAGGGTCAGAGGTGACAACAAGGTAAACTTGTGTCTGGAGAGGGAGCAAAGTCCTATGGAGAATTCCCACTAGTAGAGACAGTGGGAAGACAAGTAATATTAAGACTGGGGAGTAGCTATGTACAGGAGGTGTTTTTATATACTTCTTTGTAGGAGGCAGTGACTAGCAGTCCTTGGTATGAGGCTATGTACTAAGTACACAATTTGTAAGTGAACACTGGTGGAAAACATAGGTTGGAGTGGATATCAATATGTATGCATCGGATCAGTTAGTCAAGCGGTTATTGGAAGTACCAGTGATCCGGGAAGTAAGTACTATGTGCAAATGGGGAAAGTATATACCTAAATGGGGAGAGGAGTTTACAGTAGAATGGACAATGTGGAAGACAACCGATGAGGCGGTCAAGCGGAACCATAGGAGCGGATATGGGAGCCAACTGGGTCAGGCGGAGGGCGGATGGAGCAGAGATGGTAGGAAAGTGGGGGGAAGTATGAGGTCAGGCAGAGCAGATATTAATATTGGAGGAGCAGTTGGATCAGGTATATGACAACAACTGACAGTCACAGCAGGCACTGGAGTGAAGATATATGAGCAAATGTGTAAGAGTGAAACATACAATGGTAAGATAATGATTTCGGTCAAAACATGTCCAAACAACTTGCTACTTCCAACACATCCATTGTGACTTGACAGACGCAAACATCTTATCCCACTTGTTTGGTGCTCTGTCACTCCCCAATTTGCATGCACTTCAAGTTGAAGATAGTAATGAAGAAACGCCATGGCTTCATGAGGAGTTCCAGGCATTCTTGGAAAGGTGAAGTTGTCCCCTGGAGAGCCTGATCTTCGACACCAGAGTCATAGCAACAGATGAGCAACGGGTGGAGTACATTGTCCTTATTCCGTCCCTCAAAGTACTACTATTGCCATAATCCTGAGCATCTTGATAGCTTTTGTATGGGACATGTTACACACTGTTTCGGGCTTCATGTACTTTGAATACCAGCCTCGTAGGGTATTCCTCTCCTGTTATGCACTCAGAGAATCAGTCGCCAAGCTCAAAGACTGGTATGACAATATCCCCACTCCAGTATTGTTTTTACAGCAATATTTATGTTGGTGTGTTAAGTATACTGCACAGATGTCATCCCAAGGCTGCTGCCAGTGTACATACAACTCGATTGAAACTGAACATAGATAGTACAGATCGAGGGGAACAGGGTGACAAGAGTATTACAATAGAAAAAAAAAATCAATTCCAACCTAAATTTTCCACCCTCCAGCGAGCCCCATCACATTGTCTGGATCAACAGCCTTCTTGATATCCTGCAGACGAGCCAGATTATCCCCGTAGATATCCTCTATGCTTGTGGAAGGATCTGCATTATTGGGATACGCAACCACATTTGCAACGTCCTGCCCTGCAGCAATCGCTAGCTGTTTTATGTAATTGGAACTGGCAGTAACGGCATCATATACGAGGTCATCGTCACGTGAATCATTCCATGCATAGAATAGCGCCAGGAATGAGTAGCCTCGTTCACGTGAATCCGGGTACGCAGATGGCGTATCGGCGTGGTCGTAAATCGAAGTAAGGTAGGTCCTCAACTCATAAGTGACCACAGTTGCGCTATTTCCTAGTTTGTCGCCGTTGAACTAGCCGCTCGTGTCAGCAGACGACCTAAATCAAAATATATGATACTCACGAGAACTTCCTTGGCAACGTCGTCCAACAAGGACTCCGTCCACTCTTCGATCGCTATGACATTGAATACACCTCTGTTTCGCTGTGAGTATAAGCTGGGCATAAGACCAAAAAATTACCTAAGGTCAGGTGTACTCGGCAGCTCAGTTTTGATCATGCTTGCGAAGGACCGAGTAGAGACGTATTGATCGACGTGCGGGATCGCCAAGAAGTCGTCAAATATACCATCTGGGTAAGTAGGTGCATTATAAAACAATGTGCATGTCATGACGAGCTACGCAGCAGCGCGTTAACCCGCGACCCCACGTAAATTGCCTTTGGAACATGCTTACCTTTCCAGAGACATACTTATATACAGAATACATCGACGCCTTGGGATCTATAACGTTTGCAGCGAATTTGGCGGTGGCAGCTTTTACTGCTTTGAGTTGATCTTGATCGTATGCGATACTTCCACCCTATTTATAGTGGTCAGTGCTGTACGAAACGCTGTAGTCTGACGTCTCACCCAAACTTGAGATTGAGGATATGTTTTGAGAGTGACGTAGGTAACAATTCCCTACGAGGGTGTTAGTCCAAGGTTGCATAGGGTACTTCTTCAGAGGATCACGCACAAAGTTATTCAAACCTCCCTTCGCAGTGACAGGAGAGATTAAAACATCGACAATGTAGATGACGAACAACGCACCCGCAAGCCGAAGAATAAATCTGGATTGCTACTGGTGACTGTAGTCACCGTGCCATTAGGCAAGACAAGTTCGTACGCGACCACATTGTCAATTGCCAGTCCATACTGGTTTGTCAGATACGAATATCCTGATCAAATGACACAACGTGAGATCGCATTTGAATCATCCGGCAACGTTCATACCTCCACCAAGTACGATGCCGCCAACTCCAACGCCAGCGACTTTCCCTCCTACAACATTCACGCCGTATTTTTCCAGCATTCGATAGACGACATCCCATGTCGCACCAGTGCCAACAGTTGCTGTCTGGGAATCTGGGTCAAATGTGACGTCTGAGAACAAAGACATCGCGATCTGAACGCCTGGGGTCGACGAAAAGCCTGGGTTGGACGCGTGACCACCGCTTTTGATCTATTTGATTCTTGTGAAATAAAGCGCAAGCTGAAGAGGTCATTGCTCACTGCAAACGGCGTCCTGGTGTCTCCCAAAATTTTGAGCTGTGGGATGAGATTAATTTGGCACGAGGTCTTTATTTCAGCAACACGAACCGCTTTCGCGAGGTCCTCAGTGGTTCCAGGTTCGAAAGAGCAAGCAGAGACTTGACTGCTCGAAGATATCCAATGATGATTATCCTTCATGTAGGAAGACGATCCTGTCCGAGATGTTTAGCCTCATTCACACTTGGTCTTGGTAGTACCAAGTAGTACATACCATTGTAATAAACTGCGGATTTCGAAGAGATGGAGCCCGCGATCTCCGAACAAGCAGCAGTGTCACGAAGTATATTCCTGATACCGAGTAAACCTGAAGACGCAAGTCCCCATATGGCTGCAAGCACGAAGGATATACTAGCAAAGATTAGCATCTCGACGGGCAGACGGGGAGAATGAGACATACGAGTCCTGCTGGACACTTTATGTAGCTAAGGTGTCAGGGCTTCTATTCGGATTAAGTACTCTGCACGAACCGCACACTCTATAGTACCCTATGGATGCCGTGAGGGTGTTCGGAGTGTGTAGTGCCCTGTTAGCATTCCGAAGTAGATCGGCTCCAAACAGGGTAGGAAACACAGGTTCCTGAACGCATCAATTACATCAGTGGCAAAGACCTCAACCACCGCTCGGTAAGTTTCACCGCCCTCGCGCATGCCCATTCTGCGCTGTTCTGCCACGTTTGCATCACTCCCTTAAACGTCCAGCGCTGACACCGCCAACAGAAACCACCGCTGCTGCCCCAAACCCCTCCGCGAGCTTTCGCTTTCTACAGCCTACGGACATCAGTACCGACGGATAGACCTCGACTGGAGTCACCGCACCGACGCTTATGATTGAGCGCATTCCTTTGGGCAGCGCTTCCCCATATACCAATTTGACATCCTCATCCTCGTGTCCCACCCTCTCCCATACAGTCTTCCAGAAATTGGGTGTGTAGTGAAGCCTCTCCTTGAGAGTGTTCTGTTCTTTACACATCAAGAAATTTTAATTGTGAACCAACTTAAATTTTCGTGTCTTTGGTTTACCGGTCGTGATGCGCTGTTCCGAAAAAAAATACCGGCGGCGACGGCCTAGCCAAGCTGCAGGAAGGAGCAGGAGCAGGATTGGTGTCAAGGGTTATAGGCAGGATGCAGAGAGATGGCGGCATTCATAGGCACTAGGATTGGAGAAAAAGGCAGAGGATGTTGTGCACAAAGACCGCGAGCTCGACAAGTAGGACAACGAAGACATGTAATTGGGACAATAAAGACGATAATACACGAAAAAATATTTGTGCCTTTCTCCGACGCAGTTTGCGGGGTCCAACCTTTACTAAATAACGTCAGTCGAATGGTAACATGCTTTCTGAAAGATAGGGAGGCAATCTATCTCGCAATGCTAACAGGTCACACATCACTCGCCTGGAGGCCCATCAGATTTCACGAAAGCGGATTGTCAAGGAGCGGATCTTCATCGGGTACGAATTCAATTTATAATTTCGGGTCCCGTATTTGGAGGACGTTTCGGCATATTGATTCCTTGTATGTATAGGGAGAGATTGTAGCCACCACTGTCGCTATGCACATTGATGATTGGAATACTTACAGTGTGTTGCATATGAGATTGCAGTGCGTGTTTTTCAAAACTCGGCCTCGCTACCTTTACCGGCACTTGTATACCATAATTAGATGTCACATCTTGTAATACGGCGTCTGTGTGAGTGACTCAGTGCTTTGACCACCATCAGCATCGACCTGCGGTCCAACACACCACATGTGAGTCTTTGCACTTTCGCTACTTACGAACGACTTTGACCTGTTGTTTTTTGACCAGATGGATACTGTTAGTCATTCTAACCTATCTGCCGCATTCTCGGCTCACGGTGACCTGACTAGCGAGTTGCTTGCAGTTCAATATCTTGGCGAAGCTCCCTTTCTGGCCTGTGCGCAGACTATACCAGTATAAAAGTGAGTGATTCGGCAATGTCTCTTCGTTCTATACTTACTTTAAATCCTCTCGATATTTACATCATGTCCTATGGACAATTTCAAGTTAATTCTGCGCCCCAGCCAGTCAGACCTATTTCACCGCGTTGTCCGTCGAACGGTTGGATAAACAATGGAGGTTGGATTGGTAAGTTGTGTTCTCTTTGTTCATTGTTATTCACTGATCCGTTCCCAGATGGATATGGGGGGGGGGGGGTTGAATCCTGGGCAACATGATAAAAATGTTCTCCCTTGGGCCATCGTGCACTTTCATTGGAAGGTCTTTATCTTGTTGCTTCAATTTCGTTTTGCCTCATTGGGTGAGGTAAGTAGTGTATTGTCCTTTACATGCAATTATCGCTCAGCGGATAGAACGTCGAGCACGAAGATTTGCTTGACGCATACAGAAGGAACAAATAATGCACCATTACCTGCAGCTCTATGAAGTTCCTCTTTATCCAAGAGATATTGAAGGAGGCGTTGTTCTACTGTTTTTACTTCACCTTACAGGTGCGAGCCACATGTGTTATCTCCTATAATCACTGTAATTATGTGGGAGTCACAGGCGGGGATGATGCCATGAATTGGTGGTTCGTCCCGAACCGGTTCTTCGTTGGGGCGGCGATATTATCCAAGCGTCAAGGTTTCTCATACAACCTCAGGATAATTCTGCAACATGCGCCTGAGTTCTGATTCCGGAATCCTCGTCTCAAACTCAATTGCGCACGGCCGTTTTGACATCCCCACGTTCATGAACCCCATGTCATCCAACGGCTTCGTGGGATCGAGAGCAAGCCGGAAGGCCCAAAGAATAAGAAGCGAGTTGATGAATACCGATCTTCATTGGTCGAAGTGAGCTCGGAAGATGATGTACGTGGAAGGATAGCTTTACCTGTTTGCAACATGTTGACCGGGACATGCACTGGAAGAAAAGTTATGCAAGAACGAATAACTGAAAGACGGTGCATACCGCCGGCCAAACCCATAGACAAATAATTTTAGATCGTCTCTCAGGCGACCTTGGTCATCAATCCAGCGGTGAGGCTTGAATACGCAAGGCTCAGGGTAGACTTCTGGATCTCGAGAAATGGACCTAAGGCAATAACCATCAGTCCTATCATATTTTAAAGCACGATGCTTACCATTGGTTGCCGAATACTGTAGTCCCCGCTGGAATACAATAGTTTCCCTGATGCCAGATCATCATTTGCATGATAGCTGTTTCGGACATTACTTGCCCAAATCACGTCTTGGGTTGTTCGGTGAGCCAATCCTGTAGTGTAAATGTTGTAGACTTCAGGGACGGAATCAAAACGGAAGTGCGCACCATCAGGAACAGTGGGTCTCCATCTCAGAGCCTCAGAAATGAAGGCGCACAGGCGAGGAAGGGATTCTTGGTCGGAAAAGGTCGGCGCTTTAGTGCAAAAATCATTGTGAATTGGATCTACATAACTGCAATATGGAGTCGAGCTACCTCGGTGCCTTCCAATGACCGCATCAAGCTCGGCCTGAACTATAGTTTGCTCCTCCGGGAAACAAGAGGCTGCCATGAGCACCGTGCATATCGATAAAGAAGTCTTTCACCTGTTTTTAGCCACACGTCTTCAGAGACAACAGAACAACGCCTCACCGAACTTGATCCAGCTGCAAACAAGGCACCAGCAAGCGAGGCCATTTCAGCCTCTGAGAGATTGCCACTTTCTAGCATATATTTCGTGAACGAAGGGCCGATGTTCACATTGCTCTGCTGCGGAACAACTCAGACATTTCATGTAAGAATTGGCAAGGTAATACATACCATTTGCTCTTTCACGCCGTTCAGATGACCCATGTTGAATTTCGTGGTCCTCTCAAACCACGGCTTTAATTCTCGGCCATACCAAGGAAGGTATTTGAGCCAAGGGATCGTGTCCACCAGGTAAGCACCAGGACGGACGATTGTTCTAGACACCCTGAGGAGTTCGTTAATCTCAACGACTTCAGGATCAGTCGAATACGTGGGCGTAGTCTTCCCATACACAACTTTAGTGATTGTCGTCATAGCATAACTTCAAAATAGCTGTGAATAATGCACTATTATAACCGAAAGCGCTTACGTTGTCACATGGTTCTGGAAGTTGTATGGATCATGAAGGATGTCAAGGACAGTGTTCTTCGCGAGTGACATCTGCAGGGGCTGATAAGCCTCAGCTGCTTTACGTTGGAGATGCGTATGAAGTACTCTGCATCACGCTGAAAAGTGAGATAGGATAGGGGAAAGTATCGCGGACTACTAACCTACGCATGCGAAGAAACCTTTCCCCAAAGGGTGCAAAGGCGATGCTAATTCCGCCGCTCAACATTTCTCCAGCAGCAATCCTGCGAGGACGATCAACTAGTGATTTGCCCTGATTCTCCATGATATCTACCACGGCCTGAAACAGGATGTTGAGATTGGATATGAGAAACTCGGCGTGGAGGGACTGACTTCATAACGGCCGATAATAACGATCTTCTCAAGTCCTGACCGAATGGTGATTAGAGGACCGTATTCATCGATCCATCCCGCTACAGTGAGAAATGAGCTAATCGGCGATAAGACACAGTCAGAAAGCAACGGTCAACTATGAAACTTTACCTGCGAGGCGGCAGTAAGTGTCCACGAAGTCTCCAAGTGGGAGGGGATGGTGGGAGAGGAAGGCCACTCTTTGATGTAGGAAGGTAAACCCGAGCAATTATTCCTATTATCCCAAGACAAGCTACAGCACGGAGGACGAGCTGCATGTTGTCAGATATCGACAGGCTAGGTGGATGCAGCATGGCTGATGGGAGGAGCGCAAGGAAGGCTTGGAGGGAACTCATCGTAAGTTACGGGGCATTCAAGTTATGAACGACTCTTTTTAATTACCGTGTAGCTATCCTGAGATGGGTCACCTGTACCCAGGGTGGATATGACACTGCTGGCCTGTAATAGTATATTAGTACGTGGCAGAACCCAACCACCAAGAGAGCGACGGACATACTTGTCACACCCCATTTCAAAATACACCCAGAGTAGGGCGATGATGCCGACGGATGCCACAACGGGGCCCCGCTTGTAATTCATTTGGAAAGTATACTCGTTCTATTCCATTGGTGCCACGTCTTGAGGGACTCGAATCCGTCGATGTTGCGTCGATAGGAGAGCGGTCCGGGTATACGTGGCTCCCCGGTTATTATGTGTAAGAGTCAGTTGGCAAGTAAACCCCGGGGGAAAGGGCGAGCGTTCGGAGTCGGGGTCGCCGATATCTACCTGGCTGTCGTCGGCTCGAAACTGGAAAGTTGTATTCTACCTCAACGGCACTCGGGAGCGCTCGGAGGATTTCGGGCGGATATGAGGGTTTGTCCTACGTTGATGGAACGGTTCCAAGCTCTATGCTTGTTGAAGATGAGTCTTTTGTTTTTGTTTCGATTTCCTTGTGTGACTCAGGGGTAATGCCAACCTCGGTGTCGATTGTTAGCAGCGTTGCTATAGTTGCAGGCGTGTCGAGTGAGACTAGTTGGTGAGGGAAAGATACGGGTTAGCAATATGAATCATCGTAGTATGAGGCATGCACCAATTGTTAGCCGTACTCTCGTTCGCCTAGATTGATCTCTTGTTGCGACTCTTACCTGGGAGAGGAGAGTGCTATCAAGTTGCTGCTGGCACGCAGTTACTGGCATAGGTAGAGTTAAGCCAGCGAGACACCAGGTGTCAACATCTACAACTACATCCCAGTCGTCTGTACTTAGTTCAGTGCCCACTGTCTTGGTATGGGAGGTCATACAATAAACCCGGTTCTACCTACCGATTCAAGCGATACCATCAGCCGGGAAAGAAAACAGCTAGTCGAATGAGGCAAGGGAGGACGCGGAGGCTACGCCGGTCCAGCCAACGTAGGCCTCTCTTCCCTCGCCATCAGTGGGTTTGAGGTAGACAGCAAGTGTTTGTGAACGCTGTATATAAAATTGTTCCAATCAAAGATAGAATAATAAAATGCCAGGGTGTGGCATGCTATGCGAACACTCAATCTGTCTCTCGAGAAGGGGACCGTATATTGATATTGGGAGATTGATCAGCGATGATTTCAGCGATACAAACTGCACTCTTGCCCGCCGGGGTATTTTGTGGACGACCGATTGGATCATCACTGAATAAGTATCAGAATTGTCTCTACGAGTCGGAATGAAGATCACTCACCGGTAACCCTTCAAGCTTAGCATCGTACTCGGTGGGGATACTATGAGTCATGTCTCCGTATATACATCAACCGCGTTATTGATGTTTGTTTTGCGACGTTGGCCGTGACTCGTCTCAGAACGTACGTTGTCCTTCGCATTAGCAACTTGAACAACATACATTTTACCTGTCGCTCTCACACTCGAGTCTCGTATAAGTACTACACGCAAAGAAACATCTCCCTAACCGCGCACGACACTTTGTTTACTGTCGCTTAATGTTTCGTACGTCTCCATTTTACTGACTGTCAAATACTTAGCACTTTCCTATTGAATACTCCTTTCCTTTCTTGTCTTTATAGTATGCGAACTTGATCTTCATATCTGGGCTTGTGTGGCAGCATATATTTATATCTCGCAATTCCAGAGGACCTCTTCAGCCAGGTCGCGTTCTCGCTGGTAACGCGTTATTGTGCTGTTGGGGCCTTCAACGAGCTTCCCACTGTCAGTGCGTGGAATATTTAAACGGAATCAGCACCATAGTATCGCGTTAGCAAACGAAATGCAGACGGCCAACTCAGAAACCGATTTCTCAACCGTCTCAGCTATCATTGGTGCACTGAAAAACATCGTAAGTGCCCAATTTTATTGTCACTCCAAGTAATAACCATTTGCTTCAGCTCACTCGTTCACAAGTGATCGTATGTCTATTGCAACACATCAGCGCCATGTTATTGACAATATCAATGACCAGATCCCAGACCTTGAAACACCATACTCCAAATTCCCCAATACCGACCACTCTGCCACTGAGCACAAAGATCAGAGTATCATCGTTATCATCTCCAAGCGCCAGCGGCAGTTAGATGCAGTCTCGCTCGAGATCTCAGGTCTAGAAACCGTGATATGTAGGATACAAAATCTTCATCAGCAACTCATCAAAAAGAAAGACAAGATCGCCCAGTCGATTAATTTGCACAAAGGACTTGTATCTTCTCTCTGGCGCTTGCCAACTGAAGTCCTATGCCAAATTTTCGACCTCTGTGTCCCGGAAACCAGATTCTTGTTACCCCCGTCAAGGCTAAACGCTCCCATGTTGTTGACCGAAATATGCCGACGGTGGAGGGAGGTTGCTGTGAGCATGCCCCGATTGTGGTGCAGGCTGTCTGCGACGGTCGACGACAGAGACTGGCAGCGGGCAGCGTTCTGCTATGAGTCATGGCTCAAGCGGCCGCAGGGACTCCCGCTCTCGTTGGCACTCAAGTGCTCCAATGATCATTCGGCCAAGCTACGGAGCCTTCTTCAGCCTCACATCGATAAAATCTCGTCTCTATCTATCTATTTTGTCTACGGTGCCGACAAACCGGAACTTATGTTAACAGACCTCCAAGCACTGGAGAAACTGACCATAGGCATGCACGATTATCATATTATGCCAGCTATCACACACTCTATCTCGCAACTGCCGATCACTATGCGCAGTCTCAAGGTAACGGGGCCGTTGTTCGACCTCCAGCGCTTATCTTCTTTCAATACTATATGGGCCCACCTAACAAATGTTGAGATTGCCATACGTGAACCGCATGCAGTCCTCCATTTGCTCCAGCTATCTCCCAACCTCTCCTCGTTAACGATTCGCGCGGCATTCAACCAAACACAAACCTTAGAGCCATTCACACACGCTGAAATTCAATCCTTACGCGTCGCCTATGATTCTGGGCTGACACGCCCTTTGTCCCACCTGTTCGATGCTCTATCACTCCCAAATTTGCGCGTGCTTGAAGCTCGCTGCCGTGCACGGTGGACGTATAAGCATGAGGAATTGAAGGCGTTCTTAGTTCGGTCAAAGTGTCCCCTGAAGAACCTGATTTTCGGTGGTCGGGTGATGATGACAGATGAGGAGCGAGCGGAATATGTTTCCCTTATTCCTTCCCTCGAAGTAGTAGTGGATCCTAGTGATAAATATTTTGCATGAGACTCAGCCTTTGACGAGATGATTGTGTTGGCCTTGGCTGTAGATGTAGATATAAGTTGATTATGTGTTGTTCAATATTCGTTGCGTCTCACGAAACTCGAAGCGCTTGACATGGAGCGCTGGTCCGAGAGGTGGGATCAACAAAATAGAATTGCTGCAGTCGTACAATAGAATCAGACTAATAGGAAAATAATATGATTCGCGAAGCCAACAGTGGGACATGGCAAAACATCAGAAACAAAAATAGTCGTCAAACTCTATCCAGTTTTTTCCTGCGAACCACTGTACCCCCGCAAGGGCCTTGCAATCAACCTTGTGACCATCAACCCAGGCTTTCTTCTGACAATCCTAAGCAATGGGATCAAACACACAACTTTAATTACGATATAATACAGCTGATGCTCACCTCTCCACAATACGACGCCTGTTTGCAGCGGGAACACAAGCGCAAGCAGTGCCTATTTTCAGAGGTGTTCTCCTTACCACAGGAACCACAGTGTCTTGGCTGACCTCTGTGTGCAGCGATATCATCGCTGGCACTCAGTAGTTGCTCGAGTGAGCACGGTATGATTTTGATGTTGGAGGCATTTTCAACACGTAGTCCGACGCTCATGTCTAGGAATCCATGTTGCTCGCCATATAACACAGCAACCGTGTGGCCTTTCTTGACTTGGGGAGCAAGCGCTCGTCCGCGATCGTCTGTGTGTAGCGCGACGGTAATGACCTGTCCATCCTTATCCTTGACATATAATAGAACTCGTGCAAGCCCGATGAAATCGACGATCTCGCCGAGGAAACACCAGTGCTGGCTGGGTGCAAATCCAAATGGGCCCTCATCCCAGTAAATGAGATCAATTTCAGCCTCATCCGGAAGGCCGTTGAATGGTGGAAAGTTGACGCGATTGCGCAGGATACTTTGGGGTTTCTTGTTCCTTGGCATGGTTTGGTGCAGTGAACTGAATCAAATTTCAGCTTCTCATAGTAGACATTGACGAAGAAATACCAGACCTACAGTGATGTTCCGTGTATCGGAAGCTGCTTCAAGTTGTACGGGACGATGTAACGAGTCTCAAGACTATTCAGACTGAGGTAGGATGATAAAGGCAGGAATTGAGTGCTCGGAGGACAGCTGACGAGCATTGGACGAACCTGCAAGATCTTAAATCCTAGTCCTGTGCCGTAAAATAATGTGGCTCAGAAACAAGGAACAAAGAACAAAGAACTCGCTACGCGGTGTGCGGCGCTTCAATGTCGTGGTAGAGACCTTTGTGCAGATCTGGTAACCAATAGTTAAGATATTCAAATCTGCGAGCACTACCATTTCTGTCATAAAAATAAAATCCTGACTGTACGTCTGACAGGCGGCAGGCCTAGTCGCGGCCTTGGAGGATGTTGTTCTAGACACAACATTTGCCCCTAAAACGTGTGGTTCAAAGTAAAGGTCCTTACAAACAGCCGCAAACAACCGACTTCACTTCTTCTGGACATCCACATTATGACATGATCCAGGACCATTGAATTCAGGAGAAGATGGCAACCGTTTCGCTGGACGAAGAAGTTCGACTGTACGCGAGCAATGCGGAATGAGAAAAATACAATTTTGGTACCTTGTACGGGATCATAATCGCGCTCGACTACCTTGAGGGTGCCTATGTTCGTGATGCAATTACCGCAGTACATTATGTTCCCATCCTAAATTCAACTCATGTCAGACTTAGGAATACATACGCTGCAAGAAATACTCTCCTGCGTGCACGCGTCTTCTCACAATATATGATCATGCTCAAGCTGGTCAAGACTCTGTTCCCTCCATTGAGTAGTTCATGACGGGATATTGGATGGATAAGTATTACATCGCGTACGGGTTGGCGTACCTCTGACTGGGAGGTGGATCGCAGAGACCACACAGGTTGGTATTTTGTTTCGAGTCTTTCACTTTCCAACCAATAGCGCAGAATTTTATCACCTTTATGGATGCGTTGAAGCTTAGGCTACGCGCAAAGGGTCAGCTTCACCCGATCTTGCAGGAGCTTGTCACGGGGTATGTTAGGTTCAAGGAGAGCAAGAATTGGGAGGGACGGAGCAAAATGGTCAGCTGGTGCGTCCAATTCCGTTGCTCGCTTGGCTTAATATCTTGGGCTCGCATTTGGGATATCAGGCTTATTACTTTGAACATCATGAAGGCATCCGAAGAAACCACCGAAGAACAATCCCGGCAGGTGAGTTCGCGACCTTTGCTGATGTGTATGCGATTCATGCTGGTATTTTCATAGCTCTTATTTGATGTGGATCATGCATACGCCGAATTCTCTGAGCAGCGATATACACGGTCCTTGGGACCCTTACAGGACCAGCCAGGCACACCGCGTGTCTTGACGGATTTCCTGGGCAGCTGGGCTGCGGAGCGCCTATTTCTTGACGACGAGGGGCTATGGTCCCAATACAGTCAAGGTATCTCGGAATACATGTCGTCACCGTCATCATGATGCATATGGGTCCACTGATGAGTGATAAGCATCACACTACCAGTCAGAGCGCTCAGCTGCTGTGTAACGTTTTCATGTTCTAGCGTACACGATGCCGTAAATCATGATGAACTGATTGTGACATTGAGCGGTCAATGTGAAGATCCTAGGACCCTCGAATATGTGGCGCAAGCAAATTCACTTCCTCAGCTTAAACCTAGGTCCATGGTACAACGCTATATAAAAGTATATTTGTGAGCCTTGTTCATGTGCTCGCAACTATGTCACTTCTCATGCATGTAGCTTCACTACGTTGGGATACTGTTCGCTGTGTGAGTTGCAGTATCTCAATGAAGCTTCGTAGTTGACTATTGATAATTCGCTACTCTGTAGGTGGTTGGTGCCGATTTTCCATCATACAGTCTCGACCGTTGTGCTTGGGAGTCTGCAGACCATTTACAAGACTGACAGCATACGGTTCCTTTGTCTCTAATATACTTATCAACTCTGATTTGCCTCTGTCCAGGAGTTCGTCTGGACAAGAAACTGCATACTCTGCTGAATCCTGCCTAAGATAATATCTGATCCATAGATGTGGGTATCACCATCATTTCCTTGATGCGTCTTTTGCTAGGCTCTATTAAATACGAAGCACAGATATGGGCTGAGTATGCGAGCTCTGTCGCTGTGGACGGTGAGTGTTTTCCGCCAGTAATGAATTCGAGAGGGGTTGATGAATACTTACAGCAGTTATGTTGATGCGTCTATTTCTAGTATCCGCGATCAAAGATTGTAATCGGATCACTCTTTGTGCTTTTTGCGAATTTGTGTGCTGGGATCTTGATAGGCCTAGCTGTCGGTGCGAATAGCAGTTTGGTCGGTGAGTGACTTGCTTCGGGCGAGCGTCGTTGTGGAAAGTGACGGATTGGATGTTCCAGGTGAAGACGGCATATATTCGGGGACTTACAACTGTTCCTTAAATCTGAACCCTCCATTGACCCACCATGCGATTCTGCCGACTTTCGTTTGAGAGAATTTCGCATTTGGTCTCGAGTTGACACTGGGCTTATGCAAAGCTCGATAGCTATATTGTGTCTAATTGCTTTCCCATTTTTGATATCCTGCCTCTTAACGAAGTGATAATTTTTCTTTTTTTCTTATATGCCACTTAAAAGTTCTGAACTAGTTACACGCCCGCTCATTTACAATTGTGTCGGCCGATTGCTCCTCAACATCCAGCAATTCGTTGTCATGCCAAGGCTTGTCCTCTACATCCGAGAATTTTATGAAAAGGACGTGAAAATAGGCGAGAGTGTGATAGATCCAGAGACGTGGTCTTCGTCATCCCTTGGGAAACGTCTTACTTGAATTACCTCTTGGCGGTCACAAATTTTGATTTAGCAGAAGGGCTTGGTCTCGACTCTCTGGTGGCTGACCTAACGCACATGTAGCGCAATAGCTATCCCCATTATCCAATTGCAAGCCGTTGATGAGCATGCACAGGGAACATTTCGGGCCATCTGTGGCTGTGCCATTCCATATATAAGAGTGTCAGACACTAGCAATTGACGCGACCGCAGCTGGCTGTGTCTCCCGCGTCCATATAGGATATATACATAACCCTACGTTTTTACTTTTCATTTTCAGAACTGATGTCGCCAACGAACTCTTTTCGCCCAGCTGAGTCCTCGAGCCTGGCAGACCCTTTATCAGGCGCTCATGATGCTGTACCACCACACATGATCCAACCAAACGATCCATTCGGCCTTGAGGAGGAAATGCCCCCAGCATACACCCCATCTGCAGACACTTACCATGGAGAGACCACAGTGGAAGTCGGTCCTCGCAGACCCTTCCAACAACCCCCACGACCTACCCACAGACCCTCGCATTCCTCTACGCATTCGCATTCATCCCATACGTCATCATCGTCATATTCTCAGCCGCAGTCACCGTCACAACAACCTCCGCAGCCGCGACCGTGGGCTACTTCTACGTCATCTTCTGGCCCAACATCATGGTCTGCGTATCCTGGTCAGCGATATCAGCGTCGAGGGGGCGGCCTGGTCGGAGCACTCTTCGATACGGTGCGCGAGGCCGTGGATGCTGTTTCGGGTGTACATACCGAGCAGATGCGGGCGCAGCAGCAGTCGCGAGCGGGCACCTATGCAGCTCCATACCCACAATCTTCTTCCTCTGGTCTGACCCAGGGCTTTAATACACCGTCTTACCAGGGCGGTCCAGGTCCAGTACATTCTGCGCAGCAGACCACTTCGCAGGAAATTCCGGACGACGGCAGTCCAACTAGAACGCCTACACCTGGGCACCCGTTGCTACATAACGGACGCCTCCTCGTGTACCCCAACAAGGACCACATATGCATCAAATGTCCGTGTATTCCCATCCTCTCGTGTCATCCTCTCACCTTCTTTTAGGCAAAAACACGGGATACAAGAATTATGATCCCTCCCACCCCTGCGGAAAGTGCTGGGAGAAATATGGGAAACTGTATGCGGGTGCATTAACCTACACACCCTGGAGCGCCGAGTCTTCTTCTCGTTCCTCCAAGTTTCAGCGTGCTCTACCCAGGTTCACCCCACCACAGGCATCGCAGCTCTCACCCCAACCCTCGTGTTATACCGGCGGGCCGCCACACGGCGCTCCCCCACAGGCACCCGTGCCTTACGGCCAGGACCTCTACGTATATAATCCAATAATAGGCTTGGGCGATTACCCACCCGTCCCGCACGCCGTTCCTGTGCGTCCGGGTGATCCACGCCTCGGGGGCCAATTTTGCTGGAAGTGTGGAGGCACAGGAACATTGCCTCTCTTGATAATTGATGTGCGACCGTGCTCAGTGTGCGGTGGAATTGGACGTATTTTGCGGTAGGTGCGTGTATGTTTGAGCAGGAGATGCTAATGTACAGTTGGAAATTGATATGATATGCTATGCTATTGATACGATATGCTATTTAGCGCTGTTTGTTAATGGTTTTTGTGCGGTACCTTCATCTGTACTAGTATGGATTCAATCATGTACTTCTTTCTGCATCAATTTCTTTGACGGTGGGCAACAGTGCCCGTACTTTCCCGCAATACTTTCGTGCTGTGGGAAAGGTTCCCCACATCAAGAGCCGCCCTTCGTGTTCCACCATCAAGTTGTTTCAAACATCGTTATGTTTCACAACAATGCCGCATATCCCAATCGACTCTGCCCCCATCAACGTGTCGTGACGTTACCCTGGTCGACCATCATGATCCTGGTTTTCATCCACACGGCCTCCCATACTCAGGTTGATGATGCAGTACGTGATAATCAGGATTCTTCCCAGTAATCAATTACTTCTCCTAATCAAGCTCCAAGCTAAAACAAGAATGATCCACCAGTTTGAGTTTGGCATTTGCAGGATCCGTCGTGGAGGTGAACTTGTCTTGCAACAGAAGATGCTCCCATTCAAAGGGAGTTGTATCTACCTCGTATGGGTGCGCTCACACAGCATGCTGATTGGCAGTGGTTTAACGTGTGATACCGTCATTCCAACACCTACACAGTAGGCTACATAGGATCTAGAGAGTCAATATAAGCATTAGACTTATAAGTAGGTTCAACTACAGTAGACTAAGGTAAACCTCATGCAAATACATCCTACATCACGTGATAATGCGTGACATTTGCGCATAATTAGGGGTGCTCAAAGTTAAAATGCCCAACGCCCAACGCCCAACCTCGTGACCAAAATGAGTATACCTAGAATAAATAGAAGTAAATACCAAGTAAAGTCACCCAAGCCTACATGATGAGATAAGCTACTTACCTAAACCTTGTCGCGCGAAGCGCTGAAACCTTCGCCAAACATCTCCCCCTAATCCTCAGCATTTCTAAACTTTTTCATACTCTTCTCGTACCTAAACCTCACTGTTCCTAAACCTTTCCATACCCCTACCTTTTTAAAGTCTTTTTTTTGTACCTAAACCATTGTGTGCCTTAGGAGACCTTTCACTTTTTATTCCTAACCCTTTCCTAACCTTCAGCAGACTATTTGAGTTGTTTTTGAGGCTCAGACATAATTTTTCTTTGTGAAATTCCAATGAAATTGAGAAAAAAACATGCAGCTACATGTTGCTACAATAAAATATATGACAAGGTTGTGGTGAGGGCTAGGAATGGCAAGGTTTAGGTAAGAGAAGAGTATGAAAAGGTTTAGGAACAGCAAGGTTTAGGTACGAGAAGAGTATGAAAAGGTTTAGAAATGCTGAGGATTAGGGGGAGACATTTGGTGAAGGTTTCAGCGCTTCGCACAACAAGGTTTAGGTAAGTAGCTTATCTCATCATGTAGGCTTGGGTGACTTTACTCAGTATTTACTTCTATTTATTCTAGGTATACTCATTTTGGTCATGAGGTTGGGCATTGGGCTTGGGCGTTGGGCATTTTAACCTTGAGCGCCCCTATTGAGCCGTCAATCTACAACGAGGCAAAATACTTAATGGCTACATGGAAAGTCTTAAAATAAAGAATTAGAATTTTTCACTTTATCCGTTTGATGGTATGAGCTCAGATGATGATGTTATGGTATTTCGGGTGTCAGTTGGCTTAATGCCAAGTCATGTATACGAGCTACTGAAGTACTGAGGTAATGCTGGTATTGCTTGTGTAGCGGAGTAATGGATTCGAGGGTTATAACTCTCAGAGACCCAATTAGGCACCAAGCTATATAAAGGTCAGATCTTATGTCACTCTTGTTAGATTCAGGGATGAAGGAGCAGGAGATAGTAGAGTGAGACAATACGAGCACAACTAGGCATTAGCATGGGTAAACCTGCGGGTGCACAGAGCTCTACCCGCACCCGTACCTGCAAAATACCTGTACCCATATACCCAAGGGTACCAACGGGTATGAGTCTTTCAATGGGTGCAGACAGGTTGCATGGGTATAGTATTTCTGGGGGTAAACCTGTGGGTGTCACATAGGTCAAGTCAATATAATGTCATCCCAGCCATCTTCAAGCTCAACTTCTTCTCCCTTGACATCTGGCAGCCTTGCCACTGGCATAACATCATTATCCTTGACCAATCCCAACAAGCTCCAGCAACCGAGGCAAAGGATCACACATGTGGTCTGAGCAGAAAGTTGTGAACAGACATGTGAAAGAAGTAAGCGGCCCCACGAGAAAACTCACTCAACATCGACTGACATTGCTAAAAATGCATGTTAGTTGCAATTGCATAAGATGCTGAGCAACAGATGTACCTCATCAGTAAAACCTCGACTTACTTAATCAGACTTTTTTGGACTTTTTGATGGTTTTCACATCTTTTCAAACTTTTTTTTCAATTGCTTTTCTTAATTCACTGCCTGGTCCCAGCTTGAGTATCAGGAATAGTTTATTATCATTATTCACGGCTGTTGCAATGGTTGGAGTTCACAACTTGTAAAGATTACCACTTCAGGAGAGTATTTGAAAATAAAAATTATCAGCACTCTGTGCCCCTTACTGGTAACAAATTTATGTTTTTATGTTTTTAAACATGTCTCTTAGGTTTATAAATCATATTGGAACACACAAGTTTGGATCAGGCAGTGAATTGAGAAAAACAACTGCAAAAAAGGCCACTCATTTTTGAAAAGAAGTAAAAACCATCAAAAAGTTCAAAAAAGTCTGATTAAGTAAATCAAGGTTTTACTGATGCTGGAATGGTCAAGAAGTCAAGTGCCATGCGAGAAAGATGAGGGGTTCCGAAAGCAAGACATAACCTTATCAGCTTCGACAAGCCATATGGCAAAGGTTGGGGTGCAATCTGGTAGTAGTAGGGATGCTGTCAAGGTAATAGGCTCCATAGCATGTCAATTTTGCCACTCATTGATCAAATTTTATGTGTACTTAAAGAGAACTGCAGCAAACCTTTGAAAGACAGGTATTGGATCAATTGTAATGGTGACTGCTGGACTCGTGAATACATATCATTGTTGTACATTGTAATACTAGCATTAACATCACACATTTTTGGTTAGAATAGAAAGGGTTGCATGAAATGGAAGGTCACACCTGACACAACCAAGATTGAAGAGCTGTGAAAGCTCAAGTTTGCTGTATCCAAAGGATTTGATGGCAATGATTTACAGATTGCACCAAGCATGACAAACAGCAACATTGATAAATATTTATGCACCCTCTTCCCTCAACTGTCTGATTTTCTTGAGAACCACAAGAGCTCAAACTTGAAAAGCGAAGATGGGTTTTACTGGTATTTGATTGTCAAAAGTGGCAAGAATATGGTTAAGAGCAGTCAGGAAGGACTTACAGGAAATGAAGTTTTGAAGACTCACCATCCTGCTGGTCAGAAGTGGACAGATCAATTCATTTATTTTGGTCAGTCCCAACAGACTCGAAAACTCACTGAGGTATGCTAAATATGTGTACCATCCAGGCATGATCCTTGAAGTGGACCCAGAATCTTTCAGCAATTCTATGAGCAAAGTTGAATCTTTAGTACTAGATGCTAGTGAGGACATAGATGGAAGCAATGATATGGACAGTGAGGTACTGCCCCTAAAGGGAAAAGGTTTCACACCTTAACATCTTCACATGTCCAAGCACTCACATTTTTTCTTAAGACTTACACACTGACTCTAATCCCAAAAAATGAACTTGATCATGCACCAAGCTTTTTAACACTTTCAAATCAGACTCAGATTCCTACTCAGATGTTAGCATGAGGGTCAACCAGTGGCAATACTCCTAGACATTGTAGAGCTTTCAAAGTGAGTACATTGGAGCTCCATACTGAGTATAAAATGAACCTTATTTTCCATCCAACCAGTTGCACACAGGATTGCACCTGGCTGAAGCATTTGTAAAGATACTAAAAAGACTTTAGAATAACAGACAAGGCAAGGCTTAGGTACCATGCTGGGCTCAAGAAGCGGAGGGGTCGGGGCTTGGCTTCAGCTCTTGCACTGCACCCTTAGCCGAGTACGTGCCCTGAACTTGGAGTGGGTCTGATGTTGTCCAACAGTAGGACAAGTGGTCCGCTTTGGTCCGCTTTGAGGGTCAGGAAGTAAATGCTACCAGTGGTGGGCCAACTAGGAGTGGAGCGGAGAAGGCAGAGGATAGTGTGGAAGGTGAATAGGAGCAAAGGGGGATTATTGTTAGAGGCAGAGAAGTAAGGGGGAAGACTTAGAGCATGGCTCTAAGTCAGAGCGGAAAGTCGGAGGTGACAACAAGATGAAACTTGTGTCTGGAGGAGGCAGGGTCTTACTGAGAACTCTCACAAGTAGAAACTGCAAGAGGACAAGTAATATTAAGACTGAGGAAAATATCTAAGTACAGGATATGGTATATACTTCTAAGTGTGAGGCAGTGATTAGGAGACTTATGTTGTAAAGCTATGTACCAAGGATATAGTTTATAAGTACTTACACAGGCAAAGACATAAGTCAGAGCAGATATCAATATGTACGTGTCAGATCAGTGATCGAGCAGTAAGAGGAGTTACCGGTGATCCAGAAGTAAGGGTCTATGTACTGAAGGAGAAAGTATATGTGTAAAAGGGGAAAGTGTTAGGTACTGTGCCGGCTCAGGAGGCAGAGAGGTCGGGGCTTGGCTTTAGCTCTTGCGCTGCGCCCTTAGCTGAGTACGTGCCCCGAATTTGGAGCAGGTCCAATGCTGTCTGACAATAGGATGAGTGGACCACTTAGGTCCACTTTGAGGGTTGGGAAGTAAGAGCTACTAGCGGCAGGCCGACTAGTAGCAGAGCAGAGAAGGTGGGGAGTGATGCGGAGGGTGGATAGGAGCAGAGGGAGTGTTTGGTAGGAGCGGGGAAGGCGGAGGATAATGCGGAGGATGGGAAAAGGGACAAGGGGAATATTGATAGGGGTGGAGAAATAAGGGGGACACTTAGAGCATGGCTCTAAGTCAGGAGCGGAGGGTCGGAGGTGACAACAAGTTGAGACTTGTGTCCAGAGGAGGCAAGGTCCTACTGAGAATTCTCACAAGAGGTAACTGTGAGAAGACAAGTAATATTAAGACTGAGGAAAATATCTAAGTACAGGATATGTTATATACTTCTATGTATGAGGCAGTGATCAGGATAACTATGTAGTAACGCTATGTACCAAGGATATAGTTTGTAAGTACTTTACACAGGTGAAGACATAAGTCGGAGCTGGATATCGATATGTACGTGTCGGATCAGTGATCGAGCGGTGTGGGGAACTGTCCCCACTGTAGGCCCATATCCCGTATATTTCCCATGCCTTCCCACCATTTTCCCGCACGTTCCGCCACCCATCCGCATCTTCCCCGACCCGTCTGCTATACGGAACCCAGCGGAACCCAGCGGAACAATCACGTACCACACGCATTATATTCCTTCAGCCTTCGGAACATCCTCCTCTGTCCTGTCCATGTCCTTCCATCCTCACTGGTGAGTACTAGCTACGTTCCCCGTGTCACTAACATGTTCCTATCTCATTTCCCATGTGTTACGGTACTTATACGGATCCTTCCACTACTCGGGACCGATTCCTTATCTCACAGCCTCACCCGGTTGTAGCATATTGCAATTCAGAACCCCTTCCTATATAGGTAGCAATAGATGGGATCTTAGTTTTTTACCTTCTGATAGACTCGACTCCACTTCCACTTACAGAGTACTTCCCAGTACTCCACTCACTGTTTAAAATATCTTCCCAAATCTATTCCTGATCACATTGCATCGTTCCCGCCCCCATGAGTTCCGCTCGAAACGCCCGACATCAGATCCGACGACTTGGAGCAAGTACCAGACACAAGCCTGGTCCGACTTTGCCCAATCATCCTCCTGCAGGCTCGTAGTTTCTTTTCCCTACATTTGTTCCCCATTAGTTCCGTTTGTTCCCCATTTGTCCTGTTTGCTCCGCGTTAGTTCCGTTAGTTCCCCATAGTTCCGCTCGTCGCGCGCTGAGTTCCGCTCGTCGGGAACCCTCCGCATCTTTGTGTTCCCAGTCCTAGTAAGGACCGGAACCCTTCGGGTCGCTAGACAGAGTCTAGTCTTTGTTTCCTCGCACTTATTTGAGGACTCGCTACCCAGTAGCAATCCCCTCGGGACGAGTATAAGCCTCGCACCCTTGTTAGACTTCTGATTCACACAGAGTCTATTTTCCTCACCCACAGCAGTAATAGGAATTACTGGTGATCCGGAAGTAAAGGTCTATGTACCAAAGGGGGAAGTATATATCTAAAAGGGGAAAGCGGATCCAGTTGAATGGAGGCGTTATGGAAGGGGACCGGTTGGGCGGTTGAGCAGAAATGTAGGGGTGGATGCGGTCGATGATTGGACGGAGCGGAGGAATAGATGGAGCAGAGGTTGTCAGAAAGCGGGGTGGATATTGATATCGGAGTGGTCGGATCAGGTATATGACAGAAAGATGTTCCAGTTGAATGGAGACATTCTAGAAGGTGACCGGTCGGGCAGTCGAGCAGAAGCGCAGGAGCGGATGCAGACTGATGATTGGATGGAGCAGAGGACAGATGGAGCAGATGTGGTCGGAAAGCGGGGGTGATGCAGAATCGGGCAGAGCGGATATTGATATCGGAGTGGTCGGATCAGGCATATGACAGCAAGTCAACTCTCATATATGTATCCAGAAATGTTGAACTCACATATTCGTAGATATTGAGCTGCTGACAATGCATCCAATAACAACACCATGACTGCAGAACTGGCAGATCTGGTGGCACATTTTGGTGGGGAATCTGCTTGGACATGCTGCTTTCTGCATGTAGTCAATCTCATTGCGAAATCATTGATTAAGGAGTTTGACTTACCCAAGAAGATGGCCTGACAAGTTCCTCACTGGTGCCGAAGAAGTAATTCAAGAACTTGCAACTGACATCGAATGGGAGGACCAGACGATGATAGCTGAGAATGGGGATGGTGACCCAAACTCTGATGAAGTTGATAATACAGAAGGGTGTGTTGATGAAACATCTGGATTGACAGTGCATGATCACCAAGAGCTACAAGCAAACATACAACTGATTAGATTACTCCTCGTCAAGGTTTGTACAAGCAAGCACATACCTCACTGCCACCTTCTGACCCTCAGTAAACAGCTCTGAAAACTCGCCTACAAGATCATCCATCCAATGACACTATTGCTGCCAGAATGGAAACAAACCTTGGCTGAATTGAAGCTCCCAGTAAGAATTATGCCACACAATGTCTCAACATGCTGGAATTCAACCTTCAATATGCTGCAATTTGCGGTCGAGTATCACCCTGCCACAGACACAATGACGGACAAACAATGATTGGGGCTGGGAGTCTTTGAGCTAAGTGATAAGGAATGGGTGCTCGTGAAACAACTGTGTGACGTGTTGAAGGTATGTTACATGTCACACCATTCAGCCACTTTGCTTCATCACAGCACTATGACAGATCTTAAAGCACACTACATTATATTTTTTGCATGGAACACCTAATCTTGCCATGGTGATCCCTGTGATGGATCACTTGGACACTGTGTTCACCAATGGAATCATCAACTCTCAAACACTTGACCCTGCCATTCGTGCAGCCCTCCGCCTTGCCAAGAAGACTTTGAACAGGTACTACTCTCTTACTGACATGTCAGAGACCTACCACATTGCAATGGGTACATACTATGCTCCCTTTTTGTTACATTATTAGCTTAGTGTATATTCTAGTCTTACATCCATGGCACAAACACGAATACTTCAAGGCTGCTGGGTGGGAAGAGGACTGGATCTTGATGGCATGCAAAATGGTATGCAATGAGTATGAGCGCTCATATGCATACCACTCTCAGACTGCAGCTCCTCAAAGGTTGGAAGAGAGTGTTGATGTGATGGCTCAGGTGCGTCCAACTGCTTTTGGTTTTGTTTTACCAAAATCATTTTTACTCTACTTGACAGCATCAGGATAATGATACTGCCAATATATTTGATTGCCTGCCCGCCCTCACAAAGCCTTCAAGCACACCTGCTACTGGTGAACTCAACACCTACCTCAACACAGACATTGAGAAAGTGGACGATGCTTCTCGCATGGTGGAAATGGCAGTGCTCAACCTACCCTCATCTTTCTCGCATGGCACTTGACTTCTTGACCATTCCAGGTATGTCTGTTGCTCGGCATCTCATGCAATTGCAACTAACATGCATTTTTAGCAATGTCAGTCAATGTTGAGTGAGTTATCTTGCGGGGCCACTTACTTCTTTCACATGTCTGTTCACAACTTTCTGCTCAGACCACATGTGTGATCCTTTGCCTCAGTTGCTGGAGCTTGTTGGGATTGGTCAAGGATAATGATGTTATGCCAGACATCAAGGGAGAAGAAGTTGAGCTTGAGGATGGCTGGGATGACATTATATTGACTTGACCTATGTATTTACCTGTGACACCCGCGGGTTTACCCCTGGAAATACTATACCCGCACAACCCATCTGCACCCATTGAAAGACCTGTACCCATTGGTACCCTTGGGTATATGGGTATGTGTCATATACCGGATCTGAGTACCCCCAGTACCACCTAAAAGCACCCCCACCCCTGGTCCGACCCCCTGTTTCCCCGTCCGCTCCATTCCTCCTTCCCTGACAATGCACGAAGTGCATCTCAGCAGGATTAGCCCTGCTACCTCCGCCCAACCCCGTTCCGCTTTTCTGACACTACCCCTATGTCCCCCGACCCCATACCCCTTCCATCCAACCCTATCTAGGGTTCCTGCTCCTCCGCCCCATCGGTCCAGCCCGATCCTACTCCTACTCCCTCCGCTTTTCCAACCCACAGGGGTCCTTCAGTTCCGCTTGTATTCCCCCACCCGACTATTAGTCCATCCGACCGCCTCACCGGTCCACTCCTAGACTAGGAACCACTCAACTGGTCCTATCCCCGTTTAGTATCATAGTTCCGCTTTTTGGATCACTGGTAATCCCTATACCCTAGCGATTCTGATCTGTCGCGTACATACTGTTCCCCGAGCCTTATTCTCATATGTCTCAGTCATCCTATTGTATTCCTGTACACTCAGCACATAGCCTTCTGCTATCCTATGCTCATCACTTAGAGTATATAAACATATGTACATTTGTCTATAGATACTCAGTCTGAATATTACCTTTTCTAAGCCCTGCTCTTCTGTTCTTTGACTTGGGCCTGATCCTAGTCAACTCCTGTTAGCCGGCCTAGGGGATTGACTCCCTAGGTCGGACACCCTCCGATCTTCCAATCCTCCGTTCCTCCGTTCCTCCGTTCCTCCGTTCCTCCGTTCCTCCGTTCCTCCGTTCCTCCGTTCCTCCGTTCCTCCGTTCCTCCGTTCCTCCGTTCCTCCGTTCCTCCGTTCCTCCGTTCCTCCGTTCCTCCGTTCCTCCGTTCCTCCGTTCCTCCGTTCCTCCGTTCCTCCGTTCCTCCGTTCCTCCGTTCCTCCGTTCCTCCGTTCCTCCGTTCCTCCGTTCCTCCGTTCCTCCGTTCCTCCGTTCCTCCGTTCCTCCGTTCCTCCGTTCCTCCGTTCCTCCGTTCCTCCGTTCCTCCGTTCCTCCGTCCTCCGTTCCTCCGTTCCTCCGTTCCTCCGTTCCTCCGTTCTCCGTTCTCCGTTCCTCCGTTCCTCCGTTCCTCCGTTCCTCCGTTCCTCCGTTCCTCCGTTCCCCCGACTTCCCGTGCGTCGGAACTAGACCCCACACTCTGCATCCATCCCCTCCGTTCCGCTCTGCTTCGGACTTCGTCCAAGCAGTTCCTTCCACTCCGCTTCTGCTGTTGGTTCCGACCGCAGTAGTCTCCTGCCTCCCTCCTGTTGGGCGGAACAACCCCCACCCAACTTTCACGCGCTCACCTAGTAGTCTGTCAGTCCTCCTTCAGAGGACCCCGTTCCGATGTCCTGTCGGAACCCATAGAATTCCTATTGGACTACATCCCGAAATTAGGGGCACGTACTTGGGTAAGGGGCGCAGCGTACGAGCTGAAGCCAAGCCCCTCAGACTCCACTTTACCCCTGAGCACGGTATTAACAGTATGGGTATTTTGTGGGTATGGGTGCAGGTAGAGTTCTGTGCACCTGTGGGTTTACCCATGCTAATGCCTAAGCACACCCAGTGTCATGATGCTGGACAAATACAATTATGAACCATATGACATTATCAACTTTGGTATTCCCAGTGAATTGCTGCCCTCCACATCCACTCCAGCACTGGTAGCTGCTAGTACTTCCTTATATTTCCACCTCAGTTTCTTCAACTCATGCACACAAGGGGCTTGGTTCCAGCCTTCCATGGGGTCTGCAGGCAATGTGCAACACCACACAATTCTCAACATCCCATTCAGGATTCAACTTGCTCATCAAACCAAAGCACAATCCCTGGGACAGGAAATAAAGCCATTGATCACTTTTGTTAATTTTCTCAGATTCAACTTCACTTGGACTCGTATCCATACAACCAGCTACTAATTGGACTCCCAGTATGGTACTTATTCTACCTTTGACACTACATTAAAATTTTATATGTCGTTACATGAAAAAGTTTGGAGTCTGTGCTCAATTTTTTCTGCATGCACGCACAAATTGTGTCCACATGCATGAAAACTGTGCATGTACATGATTTAATTATTGTCCATTTGGCCCACCATAGTTGCATCGTTTTTCATGGGCTAACCTGCAGCTCTTCTGGTTCGTGCACAGTGAACTTTTTGAGTATTTTTACTTACTTTACAATGTTATCAGAACCGATTTTTGATTTTCTCCTTTTGAGGTGTCAAACCGACCTTTTCTGGTACTGTAACTTGTGATAAAATGCGAAAATGCGAATTCGGTTCTGATAGCCATGAAATAAACATATATTCAATGATATTAACCAGTGAGAATGAGGTGTCAATATTCTTAGCTCAGTGCAAAACTCAAGGTTTTAGTCCTCCTTGCTAAACGATAAATGATTTTCATTGGCTAACTACGCTACTGATGTAACTCAGGCACCACATATAGTAAGTACCTCATCAGCTCATTGATAAGACATGCCAGAGAAATAATTATGAACATGGATGGAGATGTTGTAAGTGAGTAGGTAAATCAAATGAGCACTGAGCTTTTCCGACCGATGGATTCACAATTCGCCTATAATTTCCCCAGATCTGCGCTGCCAAATGAATGCTCGCAATATGCCACATGTGCACAATTTTGGTTCCCAATGCTGTTGAAACTTGGCACAACGGGTTGATTGCAGGTACAGTTCCAAGGTAATATTGTGATGCGTGCACTAGCAACACAGCGTCATTGACGAACAGGCGTCGTACAGAGCGCAGATACAATTCCGTTGTTGCTAGAGATGTTTTTGCTTCATGAAGAAGCACGGAGGTTGCATCAAACACTTCCTGTGACATCCTATTGCGCGTTTCCATGAAATGATGACACTCGACAAACAAATGGTGTGGAGTCTCCAAGCACTTGTGTTAGATACCGTGCCGACTCAGGAAGCGGAGGAGTCGGGGCTTGGCTTCAGCTCTTGTGCTGCGCCCTTAGCCTGAGTACATGCCCCGAATTTGAAGCGGGTCTGACGTTGTCCGACGGTAGGACGAGTGGACCGCTTTGGTCCGCTTTGAGGGTCGGGGAGTAAGAGCTACTAGCAGTGGGCCGACTAGGAGCGGAGCAGAGAAGGCAGGGAGTGATGTGGAGAGTGGATAGGAGCAGGGGGACTGTTGGTAGGGGTGGGGAAGGCGGAGGATAATGCAGAGGGGCGAAGGAGGATATTTGATAGGGGCGGGGTAATAAGGGAAATACTTAGAGCACGGCTCTAAGTCAGAGCGGAGGGTTGGAGGGTTGGAGGTGACAACAAG